TCCCGGACTACATATCCCATCATCCATTGCACTGATTGCACACAGCACTGATTGCACACAGCTGTAACCAATCACACATTCACTATATAACACTCACTCAAACAACCACCCACGGCCGAGTATTGTTTAGCGCCTATCACTCACCTAGCGATAGCTACTCTACGGAGCCATTTCTAGTTTTCATTGTTTAGTTTTAGTCTTGCCTTGCCTTGCCTTGCCTGTTTTCTCGTGTTCTGATTCCTGCCTGTGTTTCTCGGATTGCCCTTTTGTCTCGCCATTCGGACTCTGTTTGCTCCTGCCTGGACTATTGCTCGTGTTATTGGATTTCCCCTCTTGTCAAGCCCTCTGGATAACGTTTGCTGCCGACTGACTCACGCCCGTTTTGGATTACTCTTCGTCTTGCCCTCATATACCTGTTTGCCATTGTCTGAACCTTGCCTGTTTTATGACCACGCCTTTAAATAAAAGCTTTGCAGATGGATCCGCACGTCTCACGTCTTGTCATCCCCGTAACAGTTGCTCTGTTTAATTATGTGTGGTATGCTTTTGTCATTTATTGCCTTATTGCTAGTTTTCTGTATAGATGAGTAATTCAATATTTTTGACATTGATTGCATGAAATACAAAACCTATAAAATACAGCTGATATTTTGTTTTTGTACTGCACACAGCCCCAAGTCCTTCACTAGTGACTATCCTACGCTGTCGAGTCAAAAAGAAAGTCAAAGACAAATATGAGAAAGAATCGGTCTACAGGCAAACATGATATATTAGCAATTCATTTGTTGCTTGAAAAATATATTTGATATTGTCAGAATACACAATGCCTTCTGAATGGCCAGCAATGGAGAAAGGTGTGAGCAGTGCACACAAAAAGTGTCTGAAATCTTCCCATTTCCCCTTTAGTTACTTCGGGTGTCAGACATTTTGGTGAGTATAATCTCTAGTGTACTAATTTCTTCCCATAATGCATCACAATAGGAAGTCCACAGCCGTTTTAGACACAATGTATAGTAGCATCTTAATTCACTTTTTTTAAATTCATTTTTGATGTAGTGGATGATTTGACATTCAGCGTAAAGGGAATCTCTCTTCCTCCACTAGATGGTAGTATCTGTCGAGTCAAAAAGAAAGTCAAAGACAAATATGAGAAAGAATCGGTCTACAGGCAAACATGATATATTAGCAATTCATTTGTTGCTTGAAAAATATATTTGATATTGTCAGAATACACAATGCCTTCTGAATGGC